TCGACTTGGATGCACTTAAGATTAAAGTTTGCTTCATGGCGCTAGACGTGCTCCTGGACATTAACACGATTTTCAGCCTTCTGGTTTCGAGGACCGCTGGTCTCATGTTATGGGCGTTGCGATTCTTCCATTTCCTTGAGCTGCCGTCCAACAGGAACTACAAGTTCGCGGTTTGCCTGACCTTCGTCGTCACGAGAAGTACATCCAAGCAACTTTCAAATCTTAAAGGCTTCAAGAAGGCGGGGCCAGCAGACATGTGCAGCCGGTGCGATGATTTCAAGCTGCTCCACACCTCAGCATGCAATTTGTCAGCCTAGAGCCATAGAAAGATTAGATGAGGACAGGCGAGTGACTTTCCAATGCTGCCATGAGAACTTTGCCAGTGAACTCAGCCCTGGCGTGGACAGGCCTTAGACGACAGTGCTCGCCGCGGGCTGCTTCATGCAGTGGTGCTGCGCGGCTTCAGAGCAAGTCCACCTGTTCTCAGAAGCTGCTTCGGGTTGCTGCGTGGGAGCGCGTCGCCACACCCGTGGTCTCGGTCGTGTGGAGTGGTCTTGAAAGGCTACGGGCTCTTCAGCTTTGGTCTCACTAGCTTTACTATCCAAAAGCAGGCCCTCCATTTTTGTAGAAAGAAACAGTACCGGGGCAGTAGCGCAGTGGTCCTGCAAGAGTATGGCATGAGAAATTCAGCAGCGTGTCTTTTCAGCAAAGAATCGGTATCTAGTCCTTGTGTTGGTGACCAGCGGGATCTTCCTGATTTCTGTCAAATGCCAAGGGGGTCAGGTTCAGTAGGCAGCAGTATTTTGTGATATTGTGATATAGTTTCTATGGAATCGGTTGTGTATGAGGCAGCTGCGTTACAACAAATCGGCACAGTTTTCTGCGAATGTGACTACGTCGTCTGCCTCTGCTCTAGCATTGCTGCTGGGTGCCGTAGTTTGGCGGCATGGGATCTCTGGGCTTGTAGACTGATGCAGGTGTGCCAGCAATCATGTCACGGAACTGTGCCTCTCTTCTTTCAACGGGGCAGTCCCACCCCACATGAAAAGCAAGTTCGGGAACAAGGCCGCACGTAATCAGATGCACCCAAGCGTAAAGAAGGCGCCAGCCAGCTGCCTCTACCTGCATGTGCATGTGGCTTGGCTTCCCAGGCTCGAGGTCTTTGACGAGGAGAAGGGCGCCGAAGCCTTCTTCAGCCTCATGATCACATCGTACAGCTACGTCTTTTGTGTGCAGTCTGCGACACAAGCACTTGTACAGTGCTTTAGCTTACTCTTAAGCGTCTACGGATTGGCAGCGTTTTTGGTAGAACGTCTAGACTTAGCTTATGAACCAGAAGAGCAACAGCAGGCTGATCCTAGAAGTGCAATATGGGAGTCCGGAGAGGAGCGGAAAGCCGATTCCTCAGTTCCGATGCTGTGTTCAAGTTCCGAAGCACGATCATGCTGCAGTTTGATGTGAGCATACCCCTAGTTGCATGGTGAATATAGGGAATGTGCCAGAGCTGACCTTGTTTCAGTTCTTAGTCGGTGTTGCCTGCCCAGAAAGCTGGCGCTCTGTGCAATGAACTTGCCCCCGTCAGCGTCTATGGGCTCGCAGCCTTCCTGATCGAATCTTTAAGCCTGGACTGTGAGCGCACGAAAGCCTCAAACCCCCGGCTGCTCCTAGACGCGGCATGACAGATTAAATTCGACAGTGCCACCTCTGGCTCAAGAGGTGCCGGAGATGGACTGCAATCGAGTTTCCAGATTCCGATGCTGTGTCACAATTGCAATCCAGAATTCTCGTCTCACAATCCCCGACATAACGAGCTCGAACGAGCTTGCCGTATGTTGGGTCTGTGCCCAAGCTGACCAGACTCCAAACTCTAAGCCTCAACGCCTGTGGGAAAAAAGCCTAAACCATCATCCCTTAGCCCTATAAGTCTTAACTGGCTGTTCTTGGAGCACTGCTGACGCGTGGGAACACACCCTGTGTTGCCGCGGCTGTTCGTCCACAAGGGAGACGGCTTTTACACTCACAGTTGCTTTTCTCACAGTTGCTTTTGGCGCAAAGAAGTGTGCTTCTTGACTGCCCGGCCTGGACTTCCGTGGAAGACTAGACCCAAAACTCAAAAGCCCAAACCCACCCAAACCCTAAACCCCAAGCCTTCTGGCAAAACTTCTGTGCACCCTACACCCTAAACCCTTTAGGGAAAAATCCCTACACCCTATGCACCCTATGCACCCTAATGGGGCTGGATTTGGTTGAGACTGGAGCTGGGCTGGCTTTGTGCGGCTTGGAGCCTAGGCTATGGCTTGGGCTGGGGCGGCTGAGCCTGGAGCTGGCTTTGGGCTGGCTTTGGGCTGGCTCTGGGGGCGGCGGGCGTCCCTAAGTTCTTAACAATCTAGTTAACTTTTGCGGGTAGCTCATATGATCCCGATCATAAAAAAGCCCTCGGGGCGCCTCTGTCGCCGCGGGCTGGGGAACCTGATTTCGTGGGCAGGGCTGGGGGCCTGAAGTTACACGGAAAGCAAGCTCCACGGTGGAGGGGAGAGGCCCTAAAAGCCCGAAGCGGGCTGAGCATGTGGAGCCTTGCCTGAATCGTGGGAGAGCAGGGATCGAACAAGCTTCAAGTCTTGTGGGCCAAGGTTAAGGCCACACCTTTGCGCCGTTTCTGGGCTCTCCAGCAGGGTTGAAGTCTGCCGGGTTGCCCTCCGGGCTGAGGGAGCAAAGTTTGAAGACCATGTCCTGCGGTAGAGCCCGAGTCAAAGAGAGGGCGCGAGAGAGCATCGGAGACGTACGTAAGTAGCACGAGACTTGTCTCAGAGCCCGGCGCACCTCTTCAGAAGGCCTCCGGCGGGAAAGGGGGGAGAGCCAAGCCTGCTTGCCTTACGAGAATATACGTCCTAAACTGGAGTCCTAAACCGGGAACAATGAACTACCAATCAACAGACCTTGCACGCTGAACCCCCAAATCAAGCCCTGAACCCCAAAGCCCATAGAAACTAAGTCTTCTGAGCTTTCTGCTTCTTGGCCCTCGGTTTCAGGGCAGCGGAGACTGCGGGCGACATGCCCCGAAGTCGCATGACAACTTCCAGGCCCCAGGGTGTCGGGTTTCGGGTTTAGGGGGTTTAGGGATTTCGGGTTTTAGACTGTAGTGCTTCGTGGTGCTACAGTAGCAGGTTGGAAATGAAGGCGAACAGCACACAGACACACTCACACCCACGCTCAACGGAGGGAAGTCTACGAGTCTTGCCCAAAATTAAAGCACGCGAACAGCACCAT